TATTAAATTATATGATAAAATTTGATATTAAAATTAAAAGTAAAAATTACCAATTTTAAAATCCCAATTTAATCACTATTAAGTTTAAAATAATAAAATTGCTGAGGAGGAAAGAAGAAATACATATGTTATTCAATTTATTTCTTCATTGAAATTACGTTAGAATAGACGCTTTTTATCCGTCCTCTGACAATATGTATACATTTTAATCCCAAAGTGTTTCCTTTGGGGTCCTAAACTCATGTAAAACAACACAAATGATAATCAGATTATAATACATAAGCACCCAGACATATTTAGATATATATACGCACAAAAAAGTGACGAGACAGGGAACATCTCCACGGCCCTTTATAAAAAAAAAAAAAAAAAAAAAGGTGAAAAAAAACAAACATGTGATACATACACAATTAAAAGAGAATGCACTTTCCATACAAATAGATAATATGATAAATACATTTACACACATCCACATACATTGACCTAGACAATCAGATACCATATCCAAGAAATATTTAAGACTGAAAGTGTCACTAAACAATGCTAACCACTTATTAAAATATAACTTACAGAGCAAATATATAAAGATAAAAATAGTTAAAAATAATATTATTTAATATATTAAAAAACGAAAATTCCAAACCCACAAATATATATAAAAACATATATTTTAATCATATAAGTTGATATATTATATATTAGGTGAAAGAAAATCGTATATTTGTAGTTAATTGATATTGTTTTCTTAATCTCAGATCATATAAACGTTGCCACGTGTCGTAACAAAGAGATAATCTCAAATGTTACCATATGTTGTAACAAAGAGATAATCTCAAATGTTGGTATATATCGCAACAAAAGGATAATCTCAAATGTTGACATTTGTCGTTACAAAGCGATAATCTCTAATGTAATGATTATCACATGTAATAAAGATCTAATCTCAAATGTTGCAATAAAGTTATATTTATTTCCTATAATTCCATTTTGATTTATCTCCCTACATTATTTTAATGGCGACCTATCTGTGGGGACGAATAAAAAGATAAACCTCTCACAGACGAAACGTTGCAAGACTCTCGCTCCTGTCTCTTTCCATGGAAAGTATTTAGACGAATTACATTCTTTAGTTCCATGAGTTTTAAGTTCTACGGCTACGACTCGTCATGTCAGGGACATTATAGTGAACCACCCTAATTCCCTTCGCATTCCATTGTTTTTTTTTTCCCAAACCGCTGCTTTGTTGAAGCGACTCCCAAGAGGATGCTTCCCCAGTCACTACAATCTGAACTTCTCCAAGTCTAGGGTTAACCGTTACTTTCCTCACGTATCACAATAAATGGTGCCTCTGTAACCCGCTACCTCGAGTGGTTCTTGAGATTTGTACCGGGTGAACATTATTGTAAAAAAAAAAAAAAAATAATAATAATAATAAATAAACAGAACAGTGCGGGGAGGAGGAGCTGATTGTAGTGTTGCAGAATGAGTAGATTAGACGAAAAGGATAAACCATACCGTACTAATCCGAACTTTGATAACCTGAACTAAGTTGGGATAGTTAGATCCTCGTCGGCGTGGGACCCTGACAATGATGGATTGTCTTTGTTTAAGTTTTAATAGAAGACAGAAAAACGCGTAAAAACGGTCAGTACTGTTGCAGCAGTAAAGAGGTGGAGATTTTTAATCTCTGCCAGTTTCCCTGGCGTGCCATGGTTTCGAGAGAGAGATAGACAGACAAGACAGTGAAAGAGAGAGAAAGCAAGAGAGAAAGAGAAAGACAGAGAGAGACAGACAGACAGACAGAGAGAGAGAGAGAGAGAGAGAGAGAGAGAGAGAATATCACGTTGAAATAATAGGTAGCTAGCCGACCTGTTAACATCCATTTTCTCCATCTTCCCCCCCAGACTACTATGAACACTGAAATAAGTAAAAAGAATCTGTCTATTGGTGAGTCAGTTTGTGATGCAGCGTTGGGGTTCCTACTGAGGTATTATTATTGATAGACTACTAGAATCCAGAAACAACATGCATGCAACAGTAGGAAGTTATTGATTGATGCGGGATACAAGACATTTAATCAATCGTATATAATAATAATAAAAAATAGAATTATATACATTCCAATACTGATGAAAATGACTCAGTAACAAAAGTCAAATTGCACTGTAATGCTCAATCCTGTTTTGGTTCTGTTTCTTCAGCTTGTATTTTAGGATTTATACCATAATATTTAGTATAGGTGATGTAGAAACTGAACACAGGACAGATTGCTTCAAAACCAAAATATTGATCTGAAAACTAGAGTCAGATTTTTAAATAGCCTCATCAGATGTAGACTTTCCTATTGACGTATATTGATTTATAAGTCTACCATTCATCCATGCATTGAACATCGCTGCCACATCTGGTTTGGTGCTTCTAATATATATTTAGAGATTCTTGATAAAATTTAAAGAAGAATCAACAAAATTATTGGTTCTGACCTGTCATCTCGGCTTCAGTCACTTTCCAACAGCCATGGCGTCGCTTCCCTGTGCCTTTCTATAAATGTTTTCATGCTGATTTTTCTGATAAGATTTTCTCTTTGGTACCCTACACTTTATGAATTTCTGTGCATTACTAGATTGGCAGCAAGGTCTCATAATTTTACAATTTAAATGGTTAGATGTAACCGTAAGTTTTATGATAACAGTTTCTTCTCTCGCACTTCTTGTTTAGGGAACACTCTCCCGGCTTCTTGCTTTCCAGTCAACGTTGATTTTCAAAAACGTAAACGCAATGTCAATCGCTATTTTCTGTCTTTTTAATATCTGTTTTTTTTATTGTTCTTTCTCATTAATAATGTTTTTTTTTATTTTTCTCATATTCTCTGACACTCAGTAACCACTTGCATGTTAGTGACTTTATTGCCACTTACGTCTTAGTGGCTTTATTGCCATTAAAAATCTCATGCATCGCGTCCAGCTTGCTCAGAAATATCTAAACTGTCAATTATATGCAACTGTTCTTAAAAAAAAACTACACTTCAGCACACCCTATAGACTGGCGCTATAGAATCACAAAGTACTATACCAAATAATAATATCCATATCACTTGAAAACTTCCAACACTAGCAACTATAGAACGGATAGCACACGTAATCGTCGTCGTTGGCGGAATTCGTTGCCAAGTATTGGTGTACTCATCGATATTTCCTTCTGTGCGAAATGAGTCTTATGTTGGATCTGAAGAGACGTCCGCAGGCACCCTATGCTAGGGCATGGAGAGTACTGGCTTATCTTTGGGCTCTTTTTGTCTCTTCTATTTGCCTTCTGGTATTTTCAAAGGTTGTTGTTTTACTCCTGGACTGCTCATCTCTATTTAGTTCTTTCTGCATCTTCTGTCTTCTAGTTGACCGGATCGATTTCTGCCCTCGGCAAGCTGAGCCTTGAATCGACGACGTTGGGCTTTACATGGTCTCTTGCCAGATCCGAGCTTCGAGAAGGGGATTTGTTTGGGCAAGCGGATGTCTAATTCGGACAAGGTGTCCGGCCCATAAAAGTCGGTGGTGAGTCATAATAGTTTCTAAGTTCTAGCACATGTAACTAGCTGTTAGCTTTCCACACCGCCAATAACCAAAACCAAAAGTTTTGCAAAGAAACACGAATCAGTACTAGAATGGAGGATAACACTTAATTGTTATTGAAAAGTCTAATTTCATGAAATACTGTTTTAAGTAAAAGGATGGAAACTAATCACGCTATTACCATTGTATAAAATCTGAAGGGTCTGTGGAGTTAGCCAAACGGTTAAGAATATGATAAATCAAATCAGTGAATTAACTTTTTCTAATAGGTCAGGTTGACGACCAATTAATTACTGGTCTCTAGGTATATGCGCTCATTATAAGATATATCAACCAATTAATAGACACCTGAAGAAGACCAGAGGACAATTGACCGAAACGTTGTGTCTATAATAAAAGTTATAATAATCAAACTGTTTATTTAAAAAAATTCCACTATTATTTTTTTTTATTTTTGACATGAGTAATTATAATAAATATACATTAATTTATTTGAACTGTACGCATCTTGATTATTATAAATGGTATTGCAGACACAACGTTTCAACTAAAAATCAACTGGTCTTCTTCAGATGTCTATTGTTTTAGCTGATATGAGATATCTTGATTATTGTCCCTGTGATGGCGGTGTAGGGATATAAAAGTTGATTAACATGCGTTTACTAGTAGTTTTGAGTTCAATTTTTGGATTAGGTAGTAAAACAATATACACTGGTTGAGCAGGAATAAAAAATAAATTTCATCACAGGAAAAATTTACATAATAATAAACAGATATCCCATAATAGCAAAAACAAAGTAAAAAAAAAAATGGAGACCTGATGATGGGCAGATGGCACTTGGCCGAAACGTTGTGTTTATAATAATATTTATAATAGTCAAGATGAGAACAACAGTATGATTACAGGTTTATATTTCTGACTTTCATAAGGATATGGCGGAGTAAAATAAATTCGGTGAAAATAGTTATTTATCTTTTCAACAATTTCTATGGATAAGTGATTGATCTATTCAGCTTAAAGACTGGGATGACCTACTTTACCCGAATAACCAATATCCTTTTATCTTCTTTTTATTTATTTATTTTTTTTTTTTTATACAGTGGGCATTAATGGGATAATAACTACAATATTCTATTATTTTTTTTTAAATTAATTATTTCATAATATAATTTACATCTGATTGGTTGATTTTTTACGGTTTATCAAACCTTTTGTATTTTTAGATTGTAAGAATTTTGGGGAGATAATCATGATTTACTGATACAAGATTTTTTCTAATTAAACCATAGCTGGGGGGTGGTGAGAGATTCGGTGGATGCATACCTTTCCCAGGCATATTTGCGTGAATATAACGAATCCGAAATTGAAATTCGTTTTTTTTTTTCGATTAGTAATTCCGTGCCTTTATCAATTACACCATCCGCACATCCAGGCTTACAGCAACTGTCATTCTCAAGCGGTCACGCATCTCGGTACTGACCAGGCTCGATGTTGCTTAACTTTGGTGATTGCGCGAGAACCGGTGTTCCAATGTGATATGGCGCTAAGTCTAATTTAAATTTGAAAATAATATCTTATTTATTGACAAAATTATATATAGACTATTTTTTATTTTACTTTTTTAATAACATGTGTGCAAATTATAGAGACGGCTTATTATAATTATTATTATTACAATAAGCATACACTTAATTTTTCGTCTTTTATGATAATATCAAGTCTGTTGACTTTTAGTTTGAATTTACATGCCCCGAGGATAGTAACATCGTTGTTTTGGGTAACTGTGTCTGGTTGATGCTCATACCATCTCTCAGTGGTTTCGATTTTTTCTTCTTGCATATCTTCTAGTGCATATATGTCGCTATTTTGTTATGTCTGTGAGTATATTCATTTTTTGCTAATTCCCGACATCCTGAGATATTATGGTCGACAGTTCCATCATATTTACCGCAGATCCTGCATTTCGGGTTAATTCCTTCCTTGATTATGTGATAAAATCTGGTTGCGAGGCTTTGAGCTGCAATAATTAGGCCTTCTTGTCTCAGCTTTCAACCTGGAGCTCCTCAGCCATTGATGTGTTTTCTTTTGGTCCACATTTACTTAATTCGTTCTTTTTAGGTATTTACCATGCAACGCCTTGTCCTCCTAGATTTTTTTTTTGCAATTTAATTTGGTCAAGATGTTTTGCTTTCTATTTTACTCGTTTTTCGTAGATGATATTCACTTCGTTTTTTTGTTGGTAGGATTTCAGGTATATTAAGTTGTTTCTTGAAGAGTGCAGCTTCTTTATTGATGGAGTAAATTTGGTGTTTTACTATTTGTAGGAGACGGTCATTGTTTTTTGTGAGGTATGCTTTCAATTTGATGTATTTTTTTACAGTTCAATTTGGATTAGAACTCGGCCTCCTAAAGTACTTGGTACGTACAGCCTATCAACATTTGATTTCGGCTGGTGTATTCTCATTTCGGTAAGCATTTTTCTGGCGTCCAATCTTTTATGTCATTCAACTTCCATTTAATAATGTTGAAGCTGTATGTTACTGCAGGTATAACTAGAGCGTTGATAGACTTGATTTTACAATCTAGTATCAAACGCACACACCTATAATATTCTTTTCAGATTTTTTTCTTCATAAGCGAATGTTGTGTTCCGTCTCCTGCATCAATTCCTAAGTATTTCTATGTACCATTTTGGTCTAGCTCTTTAATCTTGGTGTAGATTTCAAGATCTAAATCTGTAGTTTTCGTTAATTTACCGCCTTTGAAGGTGGCTTTGTCACATTTGTTGATTCCGAACTCCATCCTAATGTCTTTGCTGTAGGTTTCGACAATAGTGAGTAGGTTTTTTCTATAGTTCTTCTGGTTCTATGTCTCTTCTGTTTTTGGAGAGTAGTTATGTTACTCCCCGTGTGAGTTATTTGGGGTGTTTTTCTGGGTTTATGATTATATCATTGAATGCCCATGCGAGGGTTTGGTGCGTTCTAAATATATTTCTTATCTAAACATTGGTTATTCGTTCGATTCCCGGTGCTTCCCAGTTTTTGGTTTTGCAGATAGCAGCGTTTTTTTCAGTAATATTATATCCGACCATTTTTGGCACTCTGTATGTGTGTTGTTCCAATTGTTGCTTGATCCCGTTGTGTTTTTTTTTCCCAATTTCTTTTTTCTTTTTCATTGTTTTTTCCATGTATATAAGATTAGGTTCATTAGTCTTTCGCATTCATCCTTTATTTTTCTAATTGCTTGGTTAACGAGGCTGATGGTTTCCTTCACTTGACGGTTCTTTCTTACTTTTGGAATTGTTGGCCTTTCCTCGAAAACCATTTCCCTTACATTCTCCCATTTATATTGGACGGTTTTTTCACCTCTCTTTCTCTCTCATATTCGTCATTATCTTCCTCTATTTGCTTATGTACCTCAGAGGGATTATAACAACTGGTTTTTATTTGTTCCTCTGCTTGTGTCTCTTCTGGGTTGTTGGCATTTAGCCCTTCGATGTTAACGTTTAATCTATTTTTTTCTTTTTTTCTTTTGAGGATATTTTTTTCTTATCCAGATATTATAAGCGGCTTTGGTCGTTGTATTCGTTGTCGGATTTATCGTATCAGTGTAAAATGCTATCATTACTTCAATATACTTTTTCTAGACCATTTATTTATTGTTTTTTTGTGGGATTTTCTTTTAATGAATATAGAATGCCTCTGTGAGGACTGTCTTCGGCGTGGTTTTACTCCTGTTCTCGTTGGGTGGAGTTTGTTCCAGTTGCAGACTCTTCGATCACAGTCTTGTTCCTCACTGAGGATCGCAGTTCTTGACCTACGTGATGATCGATGCGGTATAGCAATAGTTTTCGTTGTGTCAGCATTATAGTTAGTTCGTATTTACCCATACATGGGGGCTGGTTCGTGGGCGCCAGAGCATTTCCATACCATGGTGGGCCATCACGTTCAAGGGGCCAAATTTCCAAAAATTTATGATTATTTTTATTATTATTATTATTATTTCTTATTATTAAAAAAAAATTTTTCTAAAATCTTCATTTATAAGCGTTTGATATTTCTTCTGAAACTATATTCTTTTTATCTACCATTATTGATTATTTACACGAATATGTTTTACCCTGAAATACAATTAATATATAGATACTAGTAATATTTAAAGAAAAGTTTATTATAACTGTTTGTATTGTATTATTATTGTTTTATTTTCTTTTGTTTCTGGTATATACTCATTTCCTTCCGGGTCCCAACCAGAGATCTAAGGTCATTTAGCATCCTGATCCTTTCCACTGAGCAGTTTTTTTAAAGAAATATCGTTTTTTATTTTATATAGACAAAGCCTTTTCGTTTAAGCTGTATTGGGAGTAGAATGTTTTGCATTTCTTTAAGGCATGGGCTACCAGGAATCCTTCAATGAGTCTATTGAATCTTTTCCAATCAATCCGAGGGCTCCAACAATAACTAGGATTGTTAATGTTCTCAAGCACCACATTTTTGAGATTTCGATTTCAAGCCCCTTATATTTTGATAGTTTTTTTTGTTCAAAGATAAATTGCATATCTAATATATGATTTGCTATAGAATAAAGTTTTCGCATTTTTCTTTTGCACATCTTTAATCACAATGTCTGGGGATTATCTTTTGATTTTAATTCTGTCTGTGTGTATTAAATTCCTATAAAATTGTTTTGTGCTGAAGTCCTATCTCTGTAACCGGTCTGTGTGGCGTTCATAAATATTTTTACAAAATTTCCTTTTTTCGTTGCCATTTTCCAGTTTAGATATTGACCCATTCTACCGTAATTTATTAATCATTATTATTATTTTTATTTTATTATTATTTCTTTCCGGGTCCTGCCCAGAGATCTAAGGTTAGAAATGGCATCATGACTTTTTCTGACAAAAAAAAAAAAATTACATAGATAAAGCCCTTCGTAAGGTGTGGGGCTGTACTTGTCAGAACAATTTTTTGTATCTCCTTGAGGCATGGACTTCCAGGAATCCCTTCAATTAGTCTACTGGAATCTTTTCCAACCAGTCCTAGGGCTCCAACTACAACGGGGATTGTTGATGTTTCCATATGCCACATTTTTGAGATTTCTATTTCAAGGTCCTTGTATTTTGACAACTTTTTGAATATCTTCAAAGATACATTGCAGTCTGCAGGGACTGCCATATCAATAAGGAGGCACTTTTTTGTTTGTGGTCTTTAATAGCAATGTCTGGGCGGTTGGCTTTGATTGTTCTGTCAGTGTGTATTGTGTAGTCCCATAGAATTGTAACAGGTCCTATCTCCGTAACCGGGTCTGGGTGGTGTTCATACCAGTTTCTTTCAGTTTCCATCCCGTAGAAGCTGCAAATTTTCCAGTGCAGATATTGGCCCACTCTGTCATGCCGGGTTTTATATTCAGTGGGTGCCAACACCGTGCAACCTGATACAAGCTGATCAATCGTTTCTGTATATTTATCACAGAATCTGCATTTTGGGCTGACACAATATTTTTTAGTATATGTGCTTGATAATTCCTAGTTAGCAAGCATTGGTCCTGTGCAGCAAGGATAAAACCTTCAGTTTCCGCTTTCAACCCTGCACTACGTAGCCACTGATAGGTACGGATTTTGTCTACGTCAGCTTTTTGGTACGGGCAGAATATTGGCCATGAAGCGGTTTATCTTGCCATCGTTTCTGTATCTGGTCGGTTGCATTTGTCTTTTGCTGTCTTTTTTTAGGTATTTTGCAGTTTCAGTCGGTGTATTGTGCTGTAGTTGCATCTCTACGCCCATTTGAAACTCCATTTTGAATTTGTTGGCTTTTTTATTACGGAGTAAAGACGCTTTCACTACTTTCATGTTCCTTGACGCATACCATCATCCAGTCTTCTGTAGTTTCCAAATATCTTTGGAGGCCAATTGTTGTAGTTTTGTAGGACAGTTCTAGTTGAACTAATCCTCTGCCTCCTTCGGATCTGGGCACATACAGACGATCAACATCAGCTTTGGGATGATGCATGCGATAGCAAGTGAGAAGCTTTCTCGTTTTGGCGTCCATTCGCTTAATTTCAGCTATGGTCCAGTTAAGGACATTAAAGCTGTATTGCACCACAGGGACAGCCAATGTGTTTATGGCTGATATTCTGTTTTTTGAGTTTAGCTCAGTATTTAGTACCAGACGTACACGCCTGTAGTATTCTTTTCTTATTTTTCCTTCATTTGGGGGTGTTGTATGCCATCTCCTTCGCTAATTCCTAGGTACTTATAAGCTTCACCATGCTCCAGTTCCCTAATCTTTGTGACAAAATCTAAATCTATTAAGGGTGTTTCTGTAATTCTACCTTTCTTGAATGTTACTTTTGCACATTTTATCTAATTATTATTATTATTATTCATGTCGTATAAGATATTATTTTTTAAAATATTAAAATTGGCCTTTCAAATCATTGTCGTCTTTGGCAAAGAGTTTGAGATCATCCATGTAGAGTAGGTGATTGAATATTTTTTTTGTTTATTTTGTAACCATAGCTTTGATTTTAGTTCATTTTTCAA